GGGGGGGGGGGGGGGGGGGGGGGGGGGGGGGGGGGGGAAAAAGTATGGGAGAAATGAAGACTCTCTGGGCAGCAAGTCCATGATAGTCCACTGATATGCCAACAGTGGTGGTGGCTGACGGTTGGGAGTTCGACTGGGCTAATGCTGTATAACAAATCTCCCCCAATTCAAGGATCATTCCCAACTTTAAGCTCACTTGTGTGGGTCAGACTGTGACCCCTCTATGCTGAGCTCATTTGCGCATACTGAGCTCATTTGCGCATGCGTGAGTTCTTGTCTGGAGCCCTCATCCTCTCCCTGGGACCAGTGGGCCGAGAGAGGGGCCACATTCTTTTCATACTGATGGCAGATGTGTAAAAAGGAAAGCGGAAATGTTTGAGACTTGAGCTCAGAGCTTTCATGTTTTCTATTTCTTTATTTTTATGTGGTACTGAGGATTGAACCTGTTGCCTCATGCATGCTAGGCAAGCACTCTACCACTGAGCCACAATCCCAGCCCTAGCTTTCATATTTTCACTGCTGCATTATTGACACAACCAAACCCAAAGTAGAGAGGTTGTTCTTGTTCACAGAGGGTTAAAAGCACTGTGAAGTCACATGACAAAGGATGTGGCTACACGGGGGAGTGATAGGAAGGGATCAAAAACATAATCTATCACAGGGAGGGACAAGAAAATGAAAAAGTAGGGTGAGAAGCAGCTCCTGGGAGGGGGTTCAAGGGCACACTGGATAACAGCTACAGCTACTGTCTTGGCCCAACCCCCACCCCCACCCCATATAGAAGCATCTGGTCAACTACCCAATGTCCCAATGTCCCAATATCCATTGCCTTCCTCCTTTACAAGAAGAAATTTGACCCAATCCCAGCCAGAGGGGACTCTGTCCTGAATGGTGTAAGCCAATGAGAAGCAGGAAGATATTTGGACACAGGGAGAAGGGGTTGGGTCTTAGAAGACAAACCAAAAGAGGCGGCTCTGCTCTGATTATCCTGTGAGATCTGGATCTGCCACCCCTCTCCTGCTCGGTCAGGTGCAGAAAAAAGCCTCAGATTCTGTGATATGGAGAGCATCTGCCGGGGCTGCCCTGCCTCTGAGCTTTCTTGACATCCAAGATGAACTTTATTTTCTACAGTCTAATCTGCCCCAGACTCCATAAAGGGAAAAGGAATTCTGAGGTTAAGTAACTTTGGGAAATCCTGTATTAAATAATTCCAAAGGAGGTTTCTTTTCTGCAAGACTTCCAGCTGTCTGTTTGGCTTCTGAATTCAGATGTCTCACTGAAATCCACATCAGCTCCATGTGGGATTTGGTGAGATTCTCCAAGAACAGAACGGGAATTGGACACGATGCCATAAAATGCAGCGTATTAGCGAGATGGTGTGATACTGAGAAGAGAATACCAGGGTGGTGTGTCATGACCAGAATCTCAGTTCTGTCGCATCCTGATGTGAGAGACCTCCTTTTTCTACCTCTCTGGGTCTCAATTTCTTTATTTGCAAAATGGAGATAATAATAAAGTGGGGGAGAATTACAAAGAGGGCATAAGAAAACTAGTGCTAGTGCACACCTGTAATCCCAGCTACTCGGGAGGCTGAGGCAGGAAAATCACAAGCTCAAGGGCAGCCTCAGCAATTTAATGAGACTCTGTCCAAAATAAAATAAAAAGGACTGGGGACATAGCTTAGTGGTAGAGGTCTCTGGATTCAATCCCCAGTACCCCTCACACACAAACACACACACACAAAAAAAAAAAAGAGAGAGAGAGAGAATGAAAAACTCCTAGCACGGGAAGATTAGCAAATGCCATGACAGGTATAATAAACATATTCTACTTCCTGGATGATTGTAGCAGGGTTTCATATTACGTGGACTGCCCAAACGACTCATCATGGTTTACTGCAGGGGGCAGTGGGCAGAACCAACTCCCCCTGGACATTAGGGTGGCATGTCCCAAGTGAATTCTTAAACATATGATTGAGTGTTATGAAAGGGAAAAGGAATTCTGAGATCAAGTAACTTTGGGAAAAGTCCTGTATTAAATAATTCCAAAGGAGGTTTCTTTTCTGCAAGACTTATCTTGAGCATAGTGGTGCATTTCGAAATCTCCAGTGAGGGCTGTGTCTGCAGTATTTCCTAAACCTCCTTATCTTGGGAGAGCTTTCCCAGTTGAGCAAGGAAGCCTCAGGAAATGAGGCCTCTGTCCATACGTTGGTGAAACCGCATGCGGCCCACCAGGTTCAGCCTAAACCTTGAGTTCTAAGTCTTCACCCCCAATCCCTTTGCTGTAGAAATCCTCTCCTGCTTTATCCCAAATGGGAACTTTTTTCTGTCCTGCAGTCCCCATTCATCCCTGCTGCATGAAGCCAGTCTCCAGAGTTGAGATGTTAGAAAATTTTCTGAGGCTGAGACAAGTGGGTGACCTTGTCAGGAATTTGCTTTCTTTCTCTCCCAAAGCAAGAAGCCCTGAACACAAGGGCCAGGCTGCCTTTCCCTTCTCAACGGATCTCTCAGTTTTCTGAGTTCAGTAAGTTTCCAGAGAACTGGCTTTCCAGGGTTTTACAATTGCCCTGTTGTATGTTAATGAACTTCCAAAAAAAAGCCTCTAATAAGTTTTGAGACTACAGGAGATGGAAGAAAAGGTCCGAATCTGGGACCTTAGCAAAATCTTGAGATGCTGGGGAGGGGGACCAGGAGGGGGTATAGCTCCCCAGAAAATGCAAACGCAAATGAGCTATTTGCTTCTGTTACCACTTCCCAGAATGGTGAATGATTCTACTTTGGAAAGCGACCAGACGAGGTGACTCTCATTTCTCATTTCTGGAGCACTGAGAAAACTGAGGCTTTCCCTAAACTCTTTAGGGTGAGGAAGACTTTCCCAGGATGATCCTCAAGGCAGGAACCCTTGGCACCAATGAATCTTTATTAAGCACCTGCTATGCGACAGGTGCATGTAGTCTCACAGCCGGAGAGACAAGAACCAACTGTGCACAAATGGCACACGGTTAGGATTCATCCTGGCCAAACCACCGGCAGCACCTCCAGGCTGTCTGCCCAGTTGCAGTTTGGGAAACTGAATAATGTCTGCAATGTAAGGAATCCCATTCACCTAGTCCTTATCAGCCGCTCAGGCAGCTGCAGCTGCCATTGAAGCCCTTGGGAAGATTTACTTAAGTATGAAGTTAAAAGCGGGTTTATCTTTCATTCGTCATACTTGAAGGGAGCAAGTTCTGGCGATAGCAGAAGAGAGACTAGTGGAGTGTGGGTGGGCAAGGCAGGGCATGCAGCTCTGGCCTTTGTATGCCCTCGAAACTTTGCTTTTGGGGCAGGGGATGGTGGGGAGGGGGAATTTGAGGAAGAGAGCTTGCTGTGGTGGACTGGAGATCAGTGATCCTGGTCTTACTTTTGACAAAGCTGGGCCATTTCAACTTCCTTGTGGGTAAAAAGTAAAATGGTTGTTCTAGTTCTATTGGGAATCATTTTAACTTTTGTCATATACAATTAAACGTATCATTACCAATATTTAGTGTATCACAATGTTGTACAACCATTATCACTGTTTAGTCCCAGGAAATTTCATCAACCCCAAAGGAAATCCCATATCTAGTTGGGCTTGGTGGTACATGCCTGAAATTCCACCTACTTGGGAGGCTGAAGCAGGAGGATTGCAAATTTGAGGGCAGCCTCAACAACTTAGTGAGACCCTGTCTCAATATAAAATAAAAAGGGATGGGGATGTAGCTCAGTGGTTAAGCACCCTTAGGGTTCAATCCCTAGTACCAAAGAAAGAAAAAAAAAATCCCATATCTATTAAGGGTCACTCTTTATTACTCCCTCCCTCCAACCTCTGGCAACAACTAGTTGTCCTTCTGTCTTTGGATTTGCCTGTTTGGGAAATCTCATATAAATGGACAATATGTGGTCTTTTGTGTCTGACTTCTTTCAATGTTTTCAATGTTCAATATTTCAAAATTAGGGGGGGAAAAGACCATCAGTTGTGATTCCAAGAAGAGATGAACTCAACTGGTAAGAAAATATTTGTTTTCTGGTTTTCAGAAATAACTAAAAATACCATATTGTAAAAATTGTCACAAAAAAAAAAAAATCAACCACATCCCAGTACAGTGGCCCCAGGCCACTGGGAGGCTGAGGCAGGAGAATCCAAGTTCAAAGCCAGCCTCAGCAAAAGCGAGGTGCTAAACAACTCAGTGAGACCCTGTCTCTAAATAAAATACAAAATAGGGCTGGGGATGTGGCTCAGTGGTCCAGTACCCCTAAGTTCAATCCCTAGTACCTCCCAAAAAAGATTCAACATCTTATGTGTGTGGTTCTGGGGATTAGAACTTAGCCTCATGCCTGCTAGGCAAGTGATCTACCACCGAGCTAGGCCTCCAGCCTGTACAGCTCTGCTTCTAATAAAATCTTTCTTAGAAATCCACTACAATAAAACGGAGCGTCTGCTTCAGCGGCACACATACTAAAATTGGAACCATACCGAGAAGATTAGCATGGCCCCTGCACAAAGATGACTGGCAAATTTGTGAAGCATTCCATTTAAAATAAAATAATAAAGAAAAGCCAATTAAAAGAAACTGCTGAGACGGTAGTAATGGAACTTCTGAAGACCCCTTTGGGGCTAAAACCCCTTGCTCCAAATGGCTTTGTTAGATCCTTCCCTGCTTAGAATCTGCAGGCCTCAACTCCCTCCAAGGTTTTCCCTATCCTGATTTCTTGTTTTTAGGGATTAATTGAGGTTACAGTGCATCTCAAGCTATGCACCTGGCTTTCAAGATGTGCTATAAAGGGATCACCTGGTTCTTATTAAAATGAGAATTCTGGGGCACACCCTAGACTTGTACAATGGGAATCTTCTTGGGAAGAACCCTGGAATTTGCATTTTTTTAAACGTACTTCCAGGTGATAGTGATGTTTTAAAATTTGAGAACCACTGAACCGGAAAACACTGGGAGGTGAAAGTGGGAGTAAATGACTGAGGCTGGCGAATGTTGAAAAACCATCATCTTCCAAAACCACTGTGAGCATCCTTCTTGGTTAACTGAGTGGAAGGCAGGAGGTGGATTTTCCCTGGGGATCCAGATGCCAACTGGGACTGCCTCAAGGTCATCTTGGAACCACTCCCTGTCCACGGGACTATGAAGACCAGTCCCCAAGGACAAGGGCCTTCTTATGCCCCGGGAACTGTGCACAACAGTGTTTAGGCTTTTCCAAGAGTTGCTTTTTTTTTTTTTTTTTAAATGATGCTTATAATGGTTACTTTTCTGAAATTGGAAAATTTCAAAAATAGGAAGTCAGTCATGAAGCAAAGACTGTTTATGTGAGTTTAAGAAGCATTAGGCAATGCCTCTTTTGTGCTGGAAAAAATCAACATTATTTACTTTGGGAATCTTGCCCGGATTTTTGTTAATTCGCTCATACAGTTTCTCCTCTCAGTTTATGACTCAGAGAAGTTTTTCCCAGCCCGGGGAAGGGAACAAGAAAAGCCATCATATTATACAGACCCCACCGAGTGCACTGAACTCATTAGGTATGATTGAAGGTCCCCACTCCAGCCACATCCTAGAATAGAAATCCCCTCTTCAGACTCTACTGGGACTCATCTAAGAATGAGGCTGCCTGGTTTGGGTTACTCATTGCTGTGTGACAATCTTGCCAAAACGTAATGACTTAACCACCATTTCCCCTTCTTTTGAGATAGGGTTTTGCTAAACTGCCCAGGCTGGGAGCTCATACTTCTGCTTCAGGCTCCTGAGTAAATGGGATTGCAGGCATATGCCACTGTGCCCTACATAGACTCTTTTTTTTTTTCCTTTTCTCCCTGTGGTGTTGGGATTGAACACCAGGGCCTTGCACATGCTAAGCAAACACTACCACTGAGCTTCATCCCCAGCCTTTAACCACACACCATTTTATTAGCTCTCTGGATTGATGGCTCAACTTGAGCCAACTGTTCCATGTGATCTCAGTTGGGGCTGTAACCATCTGGGGACTTAACTAGGCTGAAAAGCCCAAGGTGGCTCATTCACATGGCTAGTAATTGATGCTGGCTGTCAGCTGGGAGCTCAACTAGTGATAAAAACATCCACACCTGGCCTCCTCCTGGGTCTTGGGTTTCCCATGATGTAGCAGCTGGGATTGAGAGGAGGGTTTCCTATGAGCAAGTGTTCCAAAAGGGAGGATGTGCTTCAAAGCACTGGTTTAGGATTCAATTAATTAATCTGCTGGAGGCTTAGTCTCCCCATTCATCAGATTGATATGAAAATTGAATGAGGAGTTGGGCACAGTGGCTCATCCCAGAGGTTCTGGAGGCTGAGGCAGGAGGATCGCAAGTTTGAGGCCAGCCGCAGCAACTTAGTGAGGCCCTAAGCAACTTTGCAAGACCCTGTCTCTAAATAAAAAATAAAAAGGGCTGGGGATGTGGCTCAGTGGTTAAGGGCCCCTGAGTTCAATCCCTGGTACCAAAAACTATAAATAAATAAATTGATCAAAATATGCTATGTACATATAAATTTATATTATAGTGAATTTCACTATAAAGTACTAATGTAAAACTATAAATAAATAGAAGGAAGACCAATACAGTAGAGGAAGAAGTAGAGGAGAGAAGAAGGGAGGGAAAGAGGAAGTACTGGGGACCGAAGTGGAATAAATTATATTTTATGCATGTATGATGATGTAAAAATGAATCCCCATATAACTTATAACTATGATGCACTTAATAAAAACATTGAAATGAAAAAAAATGGGGGCTGGGTGGCAAAGTGCTTACTTAGCATGTTCAGAACCCTGGGTTCAATCCCCAGTACTAAAAACAAAAAGAATGTCAGAAATTAATTGAGATAATACATGTAAAGCTTTTCACACAGTGCTCCATAAGCAGGAATGGATTATGATTGTGGACACACATAATTTTAAGAGTTCTTGGTACCCCTGAGCCTCTGTGGAATTTTTACATTTCCCAGTGAGAGATGAGAAAGCATGATCTTTAAGGAGTATGATAATCCCATATAATTCTAATTCCTCCTCCTCCTCCTCCTTCTTCCTCTCTCTCTGTCTCTCTCTCTCTCTCTGTCTCTCTCTCTGTCTCTCTCTCTCTCTCTCTCTCTCTCTCTCTATATATATATATATATATACACACACACACATATGATACAGAGAAAAAACTATAGATAGATAGATAGATAGATAGATAGATAGATTCTCACATATAGCATTTCTCTCTCCTCTCCTTACATCTGGTCTGGCCTATACCTGCTTTGGTAACAGAATGCATCATAAGATGTTCAATGACTTCTGATATCAGTTCTTTTTTATTTTTGATTTTGAGACAGGGTCTCACTAAATTGCTGAGTGCCTTGCTAAGTGGCTGAAGCTGGCCTCCAACTTGTGATCCTCCTGCCCCAACCTCCCAAATCATGGGGATTACAGGTGGGTGCCACTGCACCTGGCTATAAAAGACCCTGAGACTACTGTTTTGGTCACTATTTCAGTTCACTCTTCATGTTGTGAGCAGCCCCATGGAGAGGTACACAGGAGAGGTAACTCGTCCCAGAGTTACCTAGGACTAGGTTGGCTTTAGCACAAAAAGTCTTGCACCCTGTGAAACTCCCTCAGTCTTGGACAAACCAGGACGAATGGTCACCATAGGCCTATGTGGCAAGAAACCGAGGCACCTGTACAGCAATGATTGAGAAACTGAGGCCTCCCAACAAGAGCCACGCGGGGAAGCCATCTTGGAAGCAAGTCCTCCAGTCCAAATCTTGGGTTGATTGAGCCTCCTCTGAAACTTCACAGCATCCTGTGTGAGACCCTGAGCCAGAACCACTCTCTAAGCTGATCCCAGAAACCCAACCCTCACAAAATGTGGGATAACAAATATCTGTTGTTTTAAGCCACTAAATTTGGGGTCATTTGTTAAATGACATTAGATATTTTATATAGATGACCCAACACAATAGAAATAGAGGACAGATCCCCTCTATTTGGGCATGTCCCCCATCCTGTTTTAAGCAGCTGGGATGATCTTTCACTTGGGGGCCTTCTTTTGCTTTCCTCAAAACCACCTTGAGGGGATTTGACTCCTTGCGTTCCTAGAGAGCAGTGCCAAGCAGGCCCTGGCTGCAGCTGGGTGAGCTCACTGCAGTGTAATTGTTTTCTAAACTTTTAGCATAAATCCCAAGGGCTCCTGAGGCTTCGTTTCCAGACTCGCTCTGAGCGGTCCAATTTCCCTGGAGGCCTCAGGTGCCTACCTGGGCGGCTTAAACAGCCAGGAAATCTCCCTGACGTGCAGCAGGACAGGTGGCTGCGTGCAGACAAATAATAATCAGCACCGTGGAGGCCCCACAGGGCATGCAGGTGGTTTGATAGGGCCTGGGTGGGCCCCTCCTTGACCTCAAATCTCTTTCAACCAGGTACCTCGGCCTCTGAAATTTTACGTTTCCACGGTGAGACATTCACTCGGGTATTTGTTCATGTATTCGCCCACATGTTCTTCTGAATGAGTTAATTTGAAGACCTTCCCTGCCCAGGTCACATGAAAGAAATAGAAACTTAACCTAAAGGGAGCACAGAAGATAGGAGGGACCCCAAAAGGCTGATCTTGGCTCCAACCCATAGTGTCAGGTTAGACCATAGTATCAGGTTAGACCAATCCTGTCTATTGCATTGGGCTGCAGTCATGTAGAGCACCCCAGAAAGCTCAGGGTAGGGACCCAGAGACCTAGAAAGTAGGTCAAGATACAATTAACATGTACTGAGCATATTTGTTTCCTAGCACAGTGTCACAAGCTGGGTGTTTTAAAACAACAGAAATGTATTCTGCCAGCAGGGGTCAGAATGGTTGGTTCAACTGAGGCTACGAGAGAATCTGTTGGAGGCCTCTCTCAGCTTTAGGGATTTGCTGGCCATCTTTGGTTTTTCCTGGTCTGTTGATGCATCAGCCCAAATCCTTCCTGCACCTCCATGTGACATTCTCCTCGTGGGCACATCTGTCTCCAAATCCAAATTTCCCACCCTGGTGACTTCATCCTTACTTAATCATCTGCAGAAACCTCATTTCCAAATAAGGTCGCATTCACAGGCGAGGGCGCTTAGAATTTCAACATCTTCAGGGGGACATAAACCCGTGACACAGAGCATTCAGTTAATATCCATGAAATGCCAGGCACTGCTATGATAATTATTTTATATACATTTATTTTCCTAATCCTCACAAAGATTTCCACCTTATAGCTGTAGGTGCCGAGCATTAGAAAGATTATGGGACTGATCCTAGATTACATGGTTAGAAAGTGTGGGCTCTGGAATCAGATAGGCCGGGCTTCCTTACCTGGGAAACCACACAGAAGCTATCTCAGCTCTCAATGCCTCCGTTTCTCTGTTTGGAATATGTGGGTAATAATAATCATACCTTCACCCATGCTGAGTTAGTATAAGGATTTTAAAAGATAGTACACAGAGCTGGAACACAGTGATCACTGAACTTGTGGTAGCTGTTTTTATAAGTAGCAGAATCCAATCTTTTTGTTTTGTTTTGCAATGCT